CATCAACAAGAAGTTTTCTCCGATATGGGGGGCGAATGGTATGACATGCTGTTGAAGAACATCTCGTATATAGCCATCTGCATTTAAAGCTCCATTAACCACTACCAACTCTGCTCGGGCCTCTAAACATATTCCACCCCAAACCATGACTGAACCTCCGCCATAGGAGACAGTAGCAGTAACATTAAATTGTTCATTTTGTTCACCTCGGCGGCGATATAGTCTTTCCCTGCCATCTATTGAATTGATGCAGAAGCGGCTCTCATCTGTAAAAAGAATTACATGCTGCCTTGCGACACAGTAGAGAGCTTAAGCTCTCTACTGTGCTTGCGAAGCTGCGTCTTGCCACCCGATGACGTCGCTGGAGTTGTGTAGCTTTCTTCTTCTGCTGATAGTCCGATGACTTATTCGTCTCCCACGTACTTCTTCCAGTTAGTAGAGAGTTGAAGTAATCACTGTACGTAGACCTCCACGTAGACGTTAAGGTACGAAAAATAACGCTTACGTATTGTCGTTAAATTGAGTTGAAGTCGCCACTTTGGTCGTCACTGTCATCATAACGTAATAATACATTTTGTTTTCGGTTTGTATTGGTCATTTTTGGTTGTGTGTTCAGATTCGACCATTTATTCCTGTCAAAATGAGAGGACTCCTTGATGCAGAACTCATTGGGGATCCCAAATTTGATAATTTTGACTCATCGGCATATTTCGAGTATAGTTTGGTTAACGTACGTTAGTTTCGTGGTGGTAAAATTATTACCAATATCCACCTTTTCTTTGAAACTCTGTATTTTCTTGAATAATTGAGAGATCAAAATGAATGAAAAACGAAAATGTTCGGAATAGATTGGGCTACAATTTGGTGTTGAGAAACCGTTTCAATTATTAATGGTTCACTCCACAGGATGTCTTGAAAAATACCGAAAAATCCGTACTTTCTTTACACCCCTGTATATGATATTAAAACGGGTCGATTGAGGGTACTTATTTCTCAGATGTATTCGTGAAGAAAGAAGCTACAGTTCATTAAAAAAAAATTGAAATCGAGCGATCGGTTCGAGAGAAAATTGATGCCAAACTTAGTGTAAATTTTGCCCGTTCCCCTAATTGTGCCAGTGTGTGTAGATCAAATAAAACTGACAATATTATTTTTTTTGTATTCCGGAAATTGGCTGATTTCTGAGTTTTGGTAGTTTTTTGTTTTGGATTTTTTCTGATTTTTCTACTTATATAGAAGAAGAAGAAAATAAACTTTATTGGACATAAAATAAAAAATACATTATGCCAAATGGCTAACGACCAAAGTCTTCCTGCCAGTATATACTAAATCATTTTATGTATTTCAAATGCATTATTTAAACAGTGATTTTTACAAGATGAATTATGAAAAAAAAAAAAAAAAACATTATTATTCTATCTGTTGGTATTTTGTCTGGAGAGTGAATCATATAGGCTGAATTCAGGAAATTTGCGTTTTATGGGAGTGAGGGGATTGGTTTGGTGAATGAGGGTCTCTATAAGGGTGATGTTTTCTTGTTTGTTCGCAAATTTTTTGGTCAGTCTGGTAATTCGGGTGAGGATAGGTTCTATTTTAGTTTTTTGGTATAGGAGAATGTTGGAAGGGTTGTGAAGAGGATTTGCAGGGTGCCTTATTTTGGTAATAGTTCTTAGACAGCTTCTCTCCGCCACTTCCAAGTTCCGCTGAGTTGGTTTCCTGCAGTTATTCAGAATAACATGTCCGTATTCCAGAACAGGTCGGCAGATCATTTTATATATTTTGCAAGCTGTAGCTGTATTTATTCCTTGATTTTGGTATGTCAAGGCTCTGAAATGTTTTGATCTTTTCATTGCTTCCTTTTTTGTCCTTTTCGCATGGGCTTTAAAGTTCAATTTGCTGTCTATAGTCATGCCAAGATATTTGCAGGTTGTTACTGTTTGTAGCTGTTGATTCTGCAAGGTTATTTCTGGAGAAGTGTTCTTGATCCTATGATGGAATATCATCAATTGGGATTTGGTTGGATTTGGTATAATTCGCCATTTTTGCATCCATTGCGTGGTGCTGGTTGTCAATTGTTGCAGTGTTCTCATAGTTTTTTGTAATGTCTTACCATGTGCTACCAGTGTCGTATCATCAGCAAATTGAAGTAGATATGCTTCTGGATTAATGTGGTTTGGGTTTTGTAGGTTGTGGTTGTATATGTCAGAACAATAAATATTATACAATATCGGTGACAGGGGTGAACCTTGTGGTAATCCTTGTTCTGGTGTAAAACTCTCGGATAAGCTGCTTTTGAAATTGACTTGGAGGGTCCGCTCGTTGAGGAAATTTTTAAGAATCCAAAGAATATACAGGGGGCATTGTATTGAGTGAAGTTTGTATAGCAATCCGGTATGCCAGGTACTGTCGAACGCCTTTTGTATATCCATGAATACGGCTACTTATATAATTTTCATCATCATTGACTATTGAAAAATCAGTTATGTTCATTGTGAACTTTGAAATGTACTTTCAATGTGTTTATAAATTGGATCTACAATATTAGTATGGAAAATGACTTGTCAATATATTCAATTTGTTTTTCAACGAACCTAATGGAATTGTGATTCATTGTTTATGATAGGTGATATTAATATGATTGAAGATTATAATAATTATGATCAGTGTGTGCGATTTCAACCCACAACAACCTCCCAATTTGATACCTGTCAACTGATTTTCAGAAGCAAAAATTCCATAATATAGTTCTAGAAGAGCTCTATTCGAAAATCTGGACAGATCCGAAATACTCAGATTTTTAAAACCTTCTTTTGTTTGTGGAAAGGGTCAAAATTTCTAGGACAACTATAAGGCAATTTTTTTTTATATCGTTACTAGCCTATTCCATTCAAGTATAGCTGAAATACCCCCATACAAAATTTGAATGCAATACCTCATGAGTGTAAGTTATTGGATGGCAATTTTACTATTATTGATTTTTTGATTCACCCTGTATCACAATCTATGGAGTTGATATAACTGGTGAAGTGGTCATAAAATGGAGAACACTTGGAATAATTAGAGAAATTTCATTGTTGTAACTTCTACAGGAAGATATCTCTTGATAAATCATAAACTTATGAAATTGAAGTTGAGATTTTTTTAATTACTGTCCATATATTTTTTTCTGGAAATATAAATAATAGTGACTAATTGAAGGAAATATTCTTCATACATACATAACAATTTTCATTGTCATTTCAAATTTTTATTCCATTTCACCAAAATCCATATAATATTATGATCACATCAAACAACAGTAATATCAGTATAGGTATCTCCTTGCAGTCATTGGAGAGTATTTGTCATTTTATTTGTTATATTCCACAGCTCTTTATGAATGGAGACGATTTTCAGAGTAACTGTGTGGTGAAATGTGTGAAAAATGATTCACTTGAGTTTTGAAAATGGTGAACCTAATAGTTATTTATGCAACAAGTGCAAAAAGTGAATGATGCCGAGTTGGACAACACGTCGAGTGCAATAAACAATTTTTGCACGAGTAACATACAACATTTTTTCTTCGTTCATACAAAAAGCAAAAAATGATTTATTGAGGTGCGGCACTAGGTACAATTCTGTTAATTGTCAGAATTAATTTTTGACTGACGTTTCTATAACCACAGTTGCAATATAAAAAATGTTTGTCATGATGACAACACGTTGAAGTAGAATGACAGATGAGTGCAATAAAAACTTTATTGTACTAAGTGCAATAAAAACTTTATTGCACTAAGTGCAATAAAGAACTTCTTTTTCCACTAAATATAGTTCAATAAAGTTTTGCTTTTTGCATGAATGTAGAAAAACTTGTTTTATTGATTTTTGATTGACCTAGAGACATGTTCCAGTAGAACTTATTCTATGTGATTCTTCATTGAATGATCACCCCACCGGTTATATCAACTACTTATCACAGGGTGAATCAAAAAAGCAAACATTTTGAAATTTGCCATTAAATAACTAACACCCAATATGAGATATTGTGTTCAAATTTTGTATGGAGGTATTTCAGCTATGTCTGAGTTGAATAGGCTAGTCACTGTTTTGAAAAAAAAATTGCCTAATAGTCGGTCATGAAATTTTAACACTTTCAACAAAGGAAAGTTGGTCCTCAATAGAATGAGTACTACACTATGGAATTTTTGTTTTTAAAATCAGTTGACATGTTCCAAATTAGGAGGGTGTTGCATGTTGAAATTGCCCACACTGTATGTCATAATTTTGAGAATTAAATATAAAATGAAAATCAAATTTGGGGCATGTCATACTCCAGCACACTAATGTAATAATTTTCCACCACGCTGGGTTAAGGTGGATTCATGAAACATTCATTATCATATTATGGTAAAAATTAAAAGAGATAGAGCATGGAAATGACTGTGTTCATAAATACATTCACATTATACTAAGCAACTAACAAGTTGGGCTCCTCTTATCTTTTATAATGTAATGATGATGTAATTATAATGAATGAAACTGCCTTCAAAAACTATTTGCCACCCCAAGAACCTGCTTTACAATCCACATAACCCACTTCTCTAAGAAATGACTGGCATAAAACCAATAGAGACATGCCTGCAGGAATTTGCCCAGAGATTCTGTTGAAAACACAGCAACATGGATTTACTACAAGAAAACCTGAAGTACAGGCCATATACAAGCACCCAGAAGAACCACTGATTGAAATACATCTCTGATTGAACAAAAATTTTGTAATTTTTTTACAATCTGTAGTATTTAAAAAATCGAGGAATGATAGTATATTATTAGAAGGCTAAAGGACCTAGGTCGATAGCCACTAGAATTGAATAAAGATTGGGTACTTAATGTATTCAGTTCAATAAAGAAGGATTATATCATTATTATTGTGGAAAATATCCAAACGAACTGCAAAATCGCTGATTTGATCAGCACAATGTGATGTTGAATTATGATAGAGCTGAATTGAAGAAACTTACCGTGCTGAATGGTTTTGAAATATTCCTCTTCTTCAGAAGGAAAGCATTGTTATTTCTGATGATCCCCCAAACTAAATGAGAAGACATTTTGATCCTGTAAAAATACTCTGTTTCAGCCTGAACAATATTTGTAATTCATAATGATACATGAATAACAATAATAATCAATGATATACAACAAAATTCGAAATTTGAATGCATACCTCTTTTTAACCTCGCTAAAATAAAAATGGAGTCAAACTGAAAGGAAAATGAAACGGAAACTAGTTTTGACGTGGTTTTGACATTGACTTCAGTAAAGGTGGATTTCAGTCAACAGTGGATTTCAGTCAAGATTTCAGTCTAGGTAGGTTCTTTCGTCTGCTTTCCAGTGTCGTGTAAAATCCACTACAATATGAATCAGCTGATATTTCATGCAGCTACAACATTGCTACAACTCAGCTACAACAACGGATTTCAAACAAACGAAGAAAATTGAATTGAAGAGGAAAAGTACAATTCGAATTTCAAAATGCGGTATTTGATGTAACTGATTTCCCAGAATAAGATAATCACAGATGTATTTCGAGTCATTTATCGAGATTGTATTCATTCTTGAATTTGAGTAAAGATACACACCTGCCCAAGGTGGAGATAAACCACATTGGATTGAAATGCACTTTTCAAAAGAATGCTCAAATACGGTGTAAATAACACGAAGTGTACGAATATGCTACACTTTTCATGAAAAAGAAAAAGCCGTGTTACATTCATTATAGATTCCAGAATGAAGCCAACACCCTGTCACAATCCCGACCATATATCTACTACTCTATATAATGAAGCATAGCTGTCCTCAAGGGCGTTGATGCCGTTGATGCCGACGTAGGGAAAGAATGATACGAAACTTGTTGAACCAATATGGCACGAATTTCAAATTTTAAAAATTGTTTTAGCGCGTATGTGATTGATTGTGATTGAAATTCGAATATTTGCGTTTTTAGTTGTACTATTCTTTAGTGTTTGTGTTTTTGTTAATTTATCACAGACTGAACATTTAAACAATGTCTAGTAGAACGAAATGCAGTATTTGTGAAGAAAAGAATCCTTTTTTCATAAGTAAGTTTGAATTTTAAATTTTTTTTGTTGAAATAGTAGATATATGATCCCGACCCAATGATATCGATGGATGACGAACGTCTCTCACCAGTTATTCAATTAGAAGCATGCTGCAGTGCTACGGAAAATCGTATCCCTGATTTTTAGACTCAATAACGTAATGCGAGTACTTCCGTTACACGATAAAAGATACTAGTTGAAAGAAGGAGAATGCATGGGTATTGTACAGATTATGAATGATATATCTGGTGAGTTCAATTTATTCATTCATTGATAATGAAGTAATTGATGAAAACTGTTCATCAGTGGAGATCATGTAAGATACCAATTTTTTGCTTTTTGATTTTTACAAGATGAATTATGAAAAAAAAAAAAAAAAAACATTATTATTCTATCTGTTGGTATTTTGTCTGGAGAGTGAATCATATAGGCTGAATTCAGGAAATTTGCGTTTTATGGGAGTGAGGGGATTGGTTTGGTAAATGAGGGTCTCTATAAGGGTGATGTTTTCTTGTTTGTTCTCAAATTTTTTGGTCAGTCTGGTAATTCGGGTGAGGATAGGTTCTATTTTAGTTTTTTGGTATAGGAGAATGTTGGAAGGGTTGTGAAGAGGATTTGCAGGGTGCCTTATTTTGGTAATAGTTCTTAGACAGCTTCTCTCCGCCACTTCCAAGTTCCGCTGAGTTGGTTTCCTGCAGTTATTCAGAATAACATGTCCGTATTCCAGAACAGGTCGGCAGATCATTTTATATATTTTGCAAGCTGTAGCTGTATTTATTCCTTGATTTTGGTATGTCAAGGCTCTGAAATGTTTTGATCTTTTCATTGCTTCCTTTTTTGTCCTTTTCGCATGGGCTTTAAAGTTCAATTTGCTGTCTATAGTCATGCCAAGATATTTGCAGGTTGTTACTGTTTGTAGCTGTTGATTCTGCAAGGTTATTTCTGGAGAAGTGTTCTTGATCCTATGATGGAATATCATCAATTGGGATTTGGTTGGATTTGGTATAATTCGCCATTTTTGCATCCATTGCGTGGTGCTGGTTGTCAATTGTTGCAGTGTTCTCATAGTTTTTTGTAATGTCTTACCATGTGCTACCAGTGTCGTATCATCAGCAAATTGAAGTAGATATGCTTCTGGATTAATGTGGTTTGGGTTTTGTAGGTTGTGGTTGTATATGTCAGAACAATAAATATTATACAATATCGGTGACAGGGGTGAACCTTGTGGTAATCCTTGTTCTGGTGTAAAACTCTCGGATAAGCTGCTTTTGAAATTGACTTGGAGGGTCCGCTCGTTGAGGAAATTTTTAAGAATCCAAAGAATATACAGGGGGCATTGTATTGAGTGAAGTTTGTATAGCAATCCGGTATGCCAGGTACTGTCGAACGCCTTTTGTATATCCATGAATACGGCTACTTATATAATTTTCATCAACATTGAGTATTGAAAAATCAGTTATGTTCATTGTGAACTTTGCTACGAATATGCTACACTTTTCATGAAAAAGAAAAAGCCGTGTTACATTCATTATAGATTCCAGAATGAAGCCAACATCCTGTCACAATCCCGACCATATATCTACTACTCTATATAATGAAGCATAGCTGTCCTCAAGGGCGTTGATGCCGACATGCCGACGTAGGGAAAAAATGATACGAAACTTGTTGAACCAATAAGGCTACGAATTTCAAATTTTAAAATTGTTTTAGCGCGTATGTGATTGATTGTGATTGAAATTCGAATATTTGCGTTTTTAGTTGTACTATTCTTTAGTGTTTGTGTTTTTGTTAGTTCATCACAGACTGAACATTTAAACAATGTCTAGTAGAACGAAATGCAGTATTTGTGAAGAAAATAATCCTCTTTTCATAAGTAAGTTTGAATTTTCAAATTTTCTTGTTGAAATAGTAGATATATGATCCCGACCCAATGATTTCGATGAATGACGAACGTCTCTAACCAGTTATTCAATTAGAAGCATGATGCAGTGCAACGGAAAATCGTACCCCTGATTTTTAGACTCAATAACGTAATGCGAGTACTTCCGTTACACGATAAAAGATACTAGTTGAAAGAAGGGGAATGCATGGGTATTGTACAGATTATGAATAATATATCTAGTGAATTCAATTTATTCATTCATTGATAATGAAGTAATTGATGAAAACTGTTCATCAGGGGAGATCATGTGAGATACAAATTTTTTGCTTTTTGGTGTTTTGCTGCCGCACATAACAGAACTCCCCAGCTGTAGTCGTGCCAAATATTCATAATCTGGGTTGAAATTCATATTTGGTAGAATTGAAATAGCTTGAACAGATTGATCCTCATGCTATGAAACAATGGTAATTCCAAAAATGCTGCTTGATAGCCCGCACAAAAATAACAATACGAACTAATATGACAAGATTGGCGAGTGTCAAATTCAGGAAAATCTTTGAATGTCGACTTTATTTCATTTTCTCACGGTATAGAACGTTGAGGTTTGTTACGGTATCTATAAATCAGGGGTCATGGTTATCAGATGGTTATTATAAGATAGTTTGTACCCTTATAAGCTCACCACTACCAACGAGAACGTGGATAATTTCTACGTATTGATTACGTTAACGTTCATGACAACACTCCAACTCTCCATAAGTATGAGGAAGAAAAATATCATTTCTACATGAAAAAGGCTACTCTTCTTCACCAAATTCATCCTAAATGATCATTTATCTGAGAAGTATATTTTTTGAAGAATCACTTGTGAAAAAAGAATAACAAAAAAAATTGACGCCTTGCAGGGATTTGAACGCGAGCCACTGCCGTAGAAGTCACTTCATTTTAAAGATTTTCATTGTTCACACATATTACATTAGAGCACGAATTTAACAAATACATATCAGAAAGCAGGACATCTTGCTAGGGCTCAGAGCTCTGTGATGGGTCCTCCGCGTGGTGCAGAGGTGGCTAGTGTTGGCCAGGGAATGTGGATGTATTTGTGAAGTGTTAGTCTCAGAGGCCTATCTCCTGGGGCCAAGCCCCTTATATAGGTGATCTCACTGAGGTTACCCAAGAGGGTGGGGGGAGCTGATCAGTCGTTATCAGTCATATCAGTGGTGGGTGGTTTGTTGGGAGATGGAGAAAATTGAAATAATTTAAAAACAAAAACCTCCTGCTCGTTAAGCTCGGCCCGTCCCACCCGCGCCCCTCGACCGATCCTGGCTGTGTGCCAGGGTCGGGCGAGGGGGCACGTGCGCTATTGACCGAGTTCAGTGTCGGATCGTCACTGTGGGTGGTGGGATCCTCCACTATTTACTGTCATGCCTTGAGAAATTGTGCTGTCTAAATCTTCTCTGGAGCCACACTTTTGCTGCGATAATCCGGGGAAATTCCCAACTATTGATTTCAGGATCTGCAAAAACATCAGTTGATGCATATATCAGCCCGTGTTTTTTACGTATGTTGTGGTGTTGTCTGGTTTGTGTTATATTCCGGGAGAGGTCACTTTCAGCGATGTGGTATTTGTAGAACTTGTTAGCCGTTTTAATAATGTAATCTCCAATTCTTGACAAACTACCACATCTCTCGTGAAGATCTGCCACTCGCGAGTATCGATCACCGTTGGTGATTATACGAAGTACTTTGTTCTACAGCACCTGAAATCTGTTCATATGCGTTGGTGGGATGCTGCAGAACACCGGGCACGCGTACGTCATCACAGGTCTAATAACTTGCTTGTACACCAGGACCTTGTTCTCCACAGAAAGTGGAGAGGTCCTGGATAACAGCGGGTACATCTTCTTGATACGAGTGTCCAGCTTAACCCCCAGGTCTTTCACAGGGACCGTGTCCGTCACCTCGACCACTTGATTGGTCAAAAGTCTGTGCAGCTTGGAATCGTTGACTTTCTGGTGGAACTTGATCGCTTCCGTTTTCGCGCTGTTTATACAGATCTTTGACTCGTCAAAGTAGAGCACGATTCCCCTGTCCAGATGGAAGTCAGATACACAGACCACTGAGCTATCGAGCTACTCGAAGGATTCAACTATGAAGAAAAAAGACATATCGTCTGTTGGCTTGTTAATCCCAACTCTAGGCATCTTAATCACAACTTTAGGCATCTCAATCACAACTGTAGGCATCTCAATCACAACTGTAGGCATCTTAATCACAACTGTAAGCATCTTAATTACAACTAAATCACAACAAGTAGCACAGCAGTATGCTCCTAATTGAATTACTTGCGAGAAACATTCATGATGGACAGGATTGATGACGCGAATGACAGAAATTGCATGACAGTTGAAAAATTAATGTCAGATTTGTCAACACGAAGACAAGTGACAAATGTACGAAAGCGTAGAAGGCTCACGTTACGTTTTTACAGTTGTCGATGAAAATAGACAGTTGTAACTGTCTAAATAGACAGTTACAACTGTCTATGAAAATAGACAGCTGAAACTGTCTAAATAGACAGTTGTAACCTGTCTAAATAGACAGTTGTAACTGTCTAAATAGACAGTTGTAACTGTCTAAATAGACAGTTGTAACTGTCTGAATAGACAGTTGTAACTGTCTAAATAGAAAGTTATACTGTCTAAATAGAGAGTTGTAACTGTCTAAATAGAAAGTTGTTACTGTCTAAATAGACAGTTGTAACTGTCTAAATAGACAGTTGTAACTGTCTAAATAGATATCTATAGACTAGTGAATACTAGAGTCCCTGTATATACTTTAGACAAGAGTCCGGACACAAAACTGACAGCCGTTGGGGTTTTTAATATTTTGTTTCATTTGGTTTGCCCACCTGACAATGTGACGAAACACCATAATCGTCCCGCCCGCTTTTTTTAATTATTTCGAATTTCTGTCACTGTCACTTTGAAATTTTATGACCGCCAAAATTTTGGATTTTAAATTATTTCAATGTCCTGCTGCGTACATTATGCGATAATTCATTAGAAAAGGGATTCAAGTTATTCAATTTTCCGAAAGATGAATTTTAGGCCCATTTTGATAGAGATTCTTTCAAGCTGATGGATTTCAAATTGAAAGAGTCTGCTGTGCCGTCAATCTCTCCAAAAAAAGAGTTCCGTCGTCATCGTATTGGGAATTACTGAATAATACGATCGCAGAGAAAGAAAATGAGATGATGCGGAGAGAAATTCAAAGTTTGAAATGAAAACTAGAAGATTTAGGGAAATTGCAATGTGCTATGTCATCAGTCCAAGGTGTTTTTAATTCAGATCAAATTAAAGAATTTATTGGTGAATGTAGACTGCAGGAAGAGGTGGGAAACCGACACAATTAAAATTATATTGAAACAATTATATATCTTCTATTTTTTCATATCCCAACAGAAAACAACTATATTTTCTTGACTATATGTGATACCACGTAAAACACTCAAATTATCTTTTTTATATCTAATGAAGGAAAGAAATATCTGATGACGAAAATTTGCAATAGCCATCTCAGGAATTGATTACGAAAATTATCGATTCGAAATTTGAACACCCTGTTGTTCATTATTTGAAAATCTAATATGTAGTTATTCTAGTTAAAATTGCCCTATTTCTCACTTCTACCTACGGCTATGAACAGTTTGACAAATAATCTAACCCTCAAAATTGTTTCTGACAATCATTGATACTAGGGGAATTGAAAAGAAAGAGCTCGATATATATGTCTTATTCCTTTATTCAATCATCAATGCATTTTTTGAAAACAGAAAAGGACAGAAGTATAGTTGTGTCCGGACTCTTGTCTAAGGTATATACAGGGACTCTAGTGAATACTGACTCCCCTGTCCTCTGTCCGACCCACAACCCACAATAACAGTACAACATAGGACAAATAAAAACACGTGCTGATAACTATAATTAACTAATACGAGCTTTGTGTATTGCGTGTATAACGATGGTGGTAGTTTTTCTATGGTAAAAGTAAAATGGATGATGGATTAATTAGATTTTATTTCTGTTTGGGTTTCCAACAAACTGAAATTTTGGCCAGTTTGGCTCTCAATCATGATATCAACATTAGTTTAAGCACTCTCAAACGAAAATTACACAAATTGGGATTGTTCAGAAGAAAGAATTTTACGGACATCCTAGAAATTCAACAATTCATTATAAATAATACAAAAACTCATGGACAATTACATGGATACCGATGGATGCACCTTAAATGCCTTCAGAATAATTTAGTAGTTACACAAGACATGGTTCGTCTTCTGCTTCAAATTATTGATCCCGTTGGTGTAGACAAACTATTCTACAATATGACGATTTTACGTTTGCAACGTACATCGATGCTTCAATCACCCGTAATTCCAATAAAATGGTTATCCAAATTCCAAATTATTCCAAATGCTTTTTTTAAATAGACAGTTGCAAGTGTCTATTTAGACAGTTACAACTGTCTATTTAGACAGTTACAACTGTCTATTTAGACAGTTACAACTGTCTATTTAGACAGTTGCAACTGTCTATTTGAAAAAAAAACGTAACGTGAGCCTTCTACGCTTTCGTACAAATGATCATTATCATTACTTTACAAACATTTGCAACTAGAGTCTAGCCATAGCACCAGTGCGAGAATATTGCGCCTGGTGCGCAGGTCGCTGGGCGCGAGAAATTGCAGTGAAACAAAAATAAATAAGTCATTGTGAAATGATATTGCGCGTCGCTCGCTGCTCGCTGGGCGCGAGAAATTGCAGCGAAACAAAAACAAATAAGTCATTGTTGTGAAATGATACATTAGACAACTGCTTTCCTAGTTGATACCATGTTACAGGGTGATCCCTAGAATCGTGACACACCTCAAATCAATTTATTCAAATTGAATTAACACTGTACTGTTCATAATTATTACATATATATATATCCCCAGATAGCACGAATATTCTCAGAATATTTTTACAAGCTGCGAAAATGTCATCTTCTAGAATAATATTCTGAAGAATATGCATAGAAAGTTCTCAGTATGTTGCGAATATTTATGGAATGTTCCATGCGAATATTCTGATAGTATTACATGAAAGTAAATTCCTAGAAGCTCCTGGGATATAATATTCCAGAATGTTCATTAAATAATATTTTCAGAATATTGTGAACATTCATGGAATACTTTGCGAATATCCTAATGATATTCTGAAAATATGTTCCAATGAGCTTCTGAAATGGAATATTCTAGAATGACATTGTTCAAATATACTTATTTCAGAATATTCTAACATAATGTCCTTAAAATGATCATAAAATATTTTCATCCTGCAACGAATATTCTATGAACATTCAATTTGACATAGATACACAAGAATATTCTTTTCGAATATTCTGAGAATATACAGAATCGTATCAAATTATGAAATTGATGATATTATTCATGTATTGATATACAAAGTGTTCCCCTTACCAAACCCATTATTATAATGGTTGTATGCCACTAAGTGTTGAGATCTTCCCATTCATATCATTCATTAAAAAGGTCTGTAGCTCAGTGGTTAAGGTGACAGGTAAATAACTATGTAGGTTCGCAAGCCCGCACCGGAGCAAGCTTTTTTAAATTTTATTACTATAAATATATACCTACCAGTAATATTCTCAGAATATCTAGAACAGCCCTCTTTGTATATCCATAGACCGTTCCTAGAAAATATTCGTATAATATTCTGAGAAGGTACTTGTGTGTGCTATCTGGGTATATACATATATAATTATATAATTCCACAAATTTCCCGAACGATGACAGTGAAAATATTGTCTCTCTAATTTGGATGTTTTTCTCGTTCCTCTAATCTTGATGAAGTAAGTTCCTTCTTTCTGTTCAATATCATTTTTCCATTCGATATATTTTTCATAAGATGGAAATTCAATATTTTCTTTAACCAACGTTAAGTCATGTGAAATTTCCAAATGTCTCTCGAATTGTTTACTCAATAATTTTTCACTGCACATTGGACAAGTGGAATTACCTGTTTCTTTCATAGTATTTGTAGATGAATTGTTACATTTCTTTGTATGAATTTTTAACTCCCTCTGATTTATAAACTGTTGTCCACATCATTTATCACAGGAAAACACTTTTTCACTTTTCTTCGACGGGGCTATCTTTGTTGGATGTAACTTCAAACAATGAGTTCTGAGATTTTGAAAAGAACTGAATGTTTTCGAACATTCTGCACAACAGTTCGATTGCATTTTTAAAGTGTGAAACGCTAGACTTGGAGGTCAAACGATAAATGAGTACATATTCTGGAAACAGTTCGAATGGCAACCAACAAATCTCCTTCCCGTGATACATGATTCGCCGCCAATTAAGGGTATTGGGTATTCTTTTACCAATGATGATCTTTATTGTTTCGCTCCAATATTTGTCCCGCGCCGCACGGCCGCAACCCTTCTCGCCTCGCTTCTCGCGCTCGGCGAGCGAGCGAGCAAGCAACGAAATTTTCTGTTTCTCGCGCCCAGCGACCTGCGCACCAGGCGCAATATTAGAGAGTTGAAGTGTTTTCATGAACGTTAACGTAAACGTAGAAATTGACAGCTACGCATACGCATTTTCCAATTCTTCACGTTTGCGTTGTTAGTGGGCTTACGGGTGTACGTTATCTCACGTTCCTTCACGTATACCTTAAATATCAACGTACGTTAACCAAACTATACTCGAAATATGGCGATGAGTCAAAATTATCAAATTCGAGATCAACACGAGTTCTGCATCAAGGAGTCCTCTAATTTTGACAGGAATACATGTTCGAATCTAAACACACAACCAAAAATGACCAATACAAACCGAAAACAAAATGAATTATTACGTTATGATGACAGTGACGACCAAAGTGGCGACTTCAACTCAATTTAACGACAATACGTAAACGTTATTTTTCGTACGTTAACGTCGACGTGGAGGTCTACATACAGTGATTACTTCAACTCTCTATTCTCGCACTGGTGCTATGGCTAGACTCTAGTACATTTGCACAATACAGTCAAATGAGTCAAATCATCAGTCAAACTTCAAACAGTCTTACCACTTTTACCAGTCATAGTCAAAGAGTCAAAAAATTTCATCAAAATAAAGTTTTTTCACAAGATAATAGTAGATAGGAGTTCTAGTGATTTGAAAATTGGTCTTTGATAAGTCAAATAATTTTTATTTTTATTTTATGAAAGCTCAAAGTAAGGAATACAATGGAGTGCATAGGTGAGAGTTCATTATTATTTCAATTGTCCTATCTATTATATTTCTTTCTAATTTTTCCTGACATTTGTTGTTCCTACATTGCAATAATACTTATTTTTGTTATCAGATTGTAAAACATATCAATCCATTCAGAAAGTTATCTATTATTTCAGGTTCTGAAAGTGATAGCTGTGAAGGCAAAAATTTGAACAACACAGAAGAAAATTGTACCAAAGATGAGAGTGATAAGTTAACAGAGCCTTCTGAATGCAAAATCTATAAAAAAGATATAGTAGAAAATATAGATGATACAAATTCTCTCAGTAATGCAACTGATAGTGAGGAGACCATTGATATGAAAGTTATATATAACAAAAAGAAGTATGATGTTTCTACCAAGTTGAATACTACTATTTCAGATTTCAAGAAACAACTACAGGGTTTACTAGGTATTGTAGGCTATGTCTCACATGTGGAGTCATTATAAAGCATAATGTAAAAACAACTATAAAAATAATTGAAAATGTATTGGGCTGAAGTGATGGAATCTGTGGATTATTTCACTAGATTTTTCTTAATTTGGGAGGTGAAAACATAAGAACTTAATATTCTGGTAATTTTGCACTCATCATGTGATGGGTTTTTTTCCTAATTTTTTTTTGATACTCATGTATTTTTGTCTAAAAAACACCAATTTGTTAATGAAAATGTGAACAAACCATTATTTATCAAGATATTTCACTATAAAGTTACACATTTCATCTTCTTTTCTGCCTGTCTTTGGACTGCATTCAGAACAATTTGCCCTTTTTTTTCCATCATTGGACAATTTATATTATATCACACGATGTTGGGCACATTTTTTTTATTATATGAGTCAACTAGAAATATGATTTTCTTGTGAATTTATCCATGTTTAGTGAAAAGAAGGTAGAATATGATTTGAAATAATGGTGTGTTTAATGTCATTCCAAAGCAATCTATTGACATATGACATCTGGTATTTGGAAATTTGGGTTGCCTATGGATCAAATGGCCATCATCTGGTATGCTCCCCATAAAAATCATATTTCCTGTTGAATTTTCTAGCTTGAAATGTGTCATGAGTATATAAAGTGTCCAATGACAAAATAAAAAGAGCAACTACCTGTGAATGCACCCAACACAAGGGGGAAAATAAGGCAAAATTTCAAACTTCTTCTTGAAATATCTGGATAAATAGTGGTTTGTTCACATTTTCATTATCAAATTCGTGTTTTTCAGACAAAAATACATGAGTACCAGAAACATTTTTGAAAAAAAACCCATCACATGATAAGTGCAAAATTACTAATATTCTGGTGGATAACTCTCACCTATACATTTTATATACTTATACATAGAACATTCAGAAAAATAAACTCATTGTAATATAGAATATAGAGGTACCATCTGCAGTTGACCTTTGTCTATCAGCCTTCTTGGGTCCCAAATTTTGCTCAACTATCTAAGTACTACTAGGTACCTATTTCCTTTACAGATTCATTCAAACCTCATTTTTTTTAAATGAGGCTACACAAAAAATATTTGAAAATTTAGATGCTACTTGCTAGGCATGCTGACCTCAATCATGACATCAAGGATTCATTTTTGCCATATCTGCTTTACCCATCACTATCTTTCAAGCCATATACACTGTGTTGAAAAGGAATATTCTCAGATAAATTATGGACATACAAAAATGGATATATATTTATATGAAGCAATACATTGAGAATTCGCATTCTCTATGTGATGAGAATATCAACTCTTTTTCAGTTTATTCAATAAAAAACAACTACTTTCCTGGCTATATGCCACAATGAACATTGAATTATATCTATTGAACACATACGATAAGAGTTTGGAAAAAAATATAAAAACTTCTGAAATTGAGTATTTGCATTCTCCTTCAGACAAAAATATGTATATGCACACATCATTCTGAATATTCAACAGAAAACAACTACATTCCTGGCTATTTGCCAAGTCGAACATTGAATTATATCTGATGAACATTCAAAAGGAGAACATGAAAAATAAAAAATAAAATCCTCTGAAATTGAGAATTGAAATTCTTCTTCAAATCGGATGAATAATATGATGTATACAGTATGATGCAAATGTATGGAATAAATTCATTTCAAAACAAGACGACTTCCGAAAAAAATCCAAAAACTAGACTTCAGAACTTTATCAATTGATGTATTTTTTTAAATAGACCACCCTTCGTTGTTCAATTCTCAGTAGCAGACCTCTGCAAGATTCAGTTAATCAAATGATAATCCATTTTAATTTCAATTTTCCTATGCGAAATTTTGACTGTTGAATAGACGATCAGTTGACCTTTCAAACGAGGTGTCACATGACCCCTGTTTTCATTTGAAAAAATCGTTCATTACGTCATTACACCAACACCGGTGACGTAACATCTCTCATATGGATATCATGAGATGAGGCTGCAAAAATGAAACCTCACGTGTTTTTGGAATTTTTCAAAATGTCGCCCATTTCTGAAATAATGAATTTATTCCATACATTTGCATCATACTGTATAATGATATGTATATGAATAATATATTTCTAGAAATATAACTGAAATTGAGAATTGAAATAGATATATTTCTAGAAAAATATTATTCATATACATATCATATATACATCATATTATTCATCCGATTTGAAGAAGAATTTCAATTCTCAATTTCAGAGGATTTTATTTTTTATTTTTTATGTTCTCCTTTTGAATGTTCATCAGATATAATTCAATGTTCGACGTGGCAAATAGCCAGGAAAGTAGTTGTTTTCTGTTGAATATTCAGAATGATGTGTGCATATACATATTTTTGTCTGAGGAGAATGCAAATTCTCAATTTCAGAAGTTTTTATATTTTCTTTTCAAACTCTTATCGTATGTGTTCAATAGATATAATTCAATGTTCGTCATGGCGTATAGCCAGGAAAGTAGTTGTTTTCTATTGAATAAACTGAAAAAGAGTTGATATTCTCATCACATAGAGAATGCGAATTCTCAAATATATATCCATTTTGTATGTCCATAATTTATCTGAGAATATCCCTTTTCAACACTTTCATACCCAATCAGGGGGTTCAAACTTGAACGATGGAAACTTGTGATTTTTTATAGACCTCTAATCGCAGATTCCTGATAGAGTCTCAATTCAGAATTTCTTTCCACGCCCTGTATGATGAATATCAATTTATCATACACCCAAAAACCATATACACTGGTTACATAGGAAAAGGTAGCATGTGTTCCTCCAAGTTTTCAAGATTATCATACTGGTGAAGTTTAAAGTTCAGGAAATGTCAGAAATGGTTAATGATTTGTTTTGTTGAAAAACTCTTGGATTTTAATTTTGCTTCATGAAAATCAAGGTACCCCTGCTTTTCCATTATTATAATTATTATCTATTTAAGATAAACTTGTTTTGAATTATCCCTTGAAATATCAAATCTAAAGCTTTTAAATACCTTTGTAGGAGCCTTGTCCAGCTCCTGCTGGCCCACACATTAAATGTGTACTATTGCTCAAAGAGTAAAACCAGCCTTTCCAATGTTATCTAAGACAAAATGAAGAATAGCACCTTCTAATAAAAAATAGAAATTGGTTAAAATACTACTTATGACATGGATCAAGGTGACTATAAAAATAACGTTTTTTTTAGGAAAATGACAGTGACAAAAATGTCAAAATGGGCAGAGAAATCATCAATTTCATTTTTTTTTTAGTTTAAGGCCTATCATTTTTAATTATTGTAACTCTTTTTTTTGTGTATGTGATGTTTTCAAAATGTTACTTTCAAAATAAAAGTGGATCATTCCACCTTTATTATCTGAACCTACCTTTGATACACAGCAATAACTGATATTCAATCAGTGGGCCAACTGAAACTGGACAGGGACCATAAATGTATGAGAAATGGGCTGCATTTTTTCACAGATGACACAACTGTCAACTTCAGGTTTATTTGATATTTGGAGATACCAACTCTTGATTTCAATAATTTATATCCTAACTACTCCAATACAATTGTATTTTCATATATAATACCACAAGTGATAATATTTTGCCGGAAATATTCGGTGATTGTTACGACAGCTTGTTGCTTAGTAATTTCGTGAATGGCATTGTTATCAAAACTACGAGCCGTAGGCGAGTAGTTTTGGATCAATGTCATGAGCGAAATTAGAGCAGCAAGCTGGAGTATGTCAATCGACGAATATTTCCAGGAAAAATAGTATCACGAGTTGTATTCGTATGACTATTTCATGATTGAATGAGACAATATATATAAGAAATAGGAAACACAATTCAGGTATATTCCAACTCAAACTGCGAAGAAGAACATAATGATAGTGATAACATACAGAATTCAATTTGTTTAGGAATCAACTACCTACTTATAGTTATTCACAAAGTGGAATGTACAATTTTAACAAACAGTATTTTTTTTATTATCTTGGAGATGGTTGCTCTCAAAAGAGTACTATCCAATTAAAAAAAAAAAAAAATAAATTGAATTCATGTGACATGAAATAATTAAAAAAAGATATCGTTGCCGAGGGACTCGAACCACCAACCTTCGTATCCTCGCGCAACAATCCTATCAGTTGCGCCACAATTGAAGAAGATTACTTCAAGAAGGAATTTGAATTCTAGTATCGTTGTGTCAGAGACCGTCAACAAATATGCAAACTTTTTAAATTACACATGAAACGTCCAGCCAGAATAAAATTGTCCCGCGTTTCGTACAAAATATCTCACCAACGCAAATTATAAGTAAATAAAATAAAGTAGGAACTTAGGTTAATGTCACAGATTTGAATCCAAAGCAATCTTGACCAGACACGATGTCAAAATTTTATCGCTGATAAACGAGGTTTGTTGGTCACGTGTGGGTCAATTCGGCTTCTGTATTGGTAGAGCAAGTCCGATAAAATTTAGTAAACAAAAAATATCGCTAGAATACAGAAGAAACCGTGAAAATGGTCTATTCTGATTGGATCTCGAGATCAATAGAGGAATAGTCACCTGAAAATATTCAAGTAGTCCGTTTCTCTATGATTTTATATGTTGTTTGGGGTGCTGAATCCGAATCTGCAGATAAAATTTCCTGGAGCGTTCTGAGATATTCTCCAAAAACAGTGGAATTTTCACACATATCAGTTCTTTGCTTGTAACTCGGAAACTATATATTTTATCAAAAAGACTACCCTATTGAACGTTGAAGTAGATGAAATTATCCGTATATAATTGTCATTGCACATGAATATAGGAGTGACGGGCGAGCAGCTAGAGGAAGTTGAAAATTGACCAAATAAAACGTTCTTCCTCGGTTCTCGCAGATAATTAATAATCAACACATTTCTGGAAGAAACGAACTTCACTGCCTGATGTGGAAGAGCT